GCCTTTGCTCTCTGCTGTCTCTCTCTTTGCCTTTCCCTCCCTCCCCTTCTCTCTCTCTGTCTCTCTCCTTCCTTCCTTCCTTCCTTCCTTCTCCCTCGTTCCCTCACTTTCTCTCCCCCTCTTCCTGTCTTCATTTCTCTCTCCTTCTCTGTCCCTCCTGTCTCCATCTCTGAGCTCTTTCTCTCTTCCCTTCTCTCCATCTCTCTCTCTCTCTCTCTCTCTCTCTCTCTCTCTCTCTCTCTCTCCCTCCCTCCCTCCCTCCCTCCCTTCCTCCCTCCCTCCCTTTCTTCCATATTTGTTTGCCTGTCTCTCCACTTCCTTCTCCTTGGCCTGACTAATGAGGGTGCACCACCAGGGCCTCCCCAGCTTTCACTGCCCACCCATGTCAGCCAGGCCTCCCCATGGTAGCGGAGGGGGATGGGAGCAGAGGGGAGTACAGGCCTGCTGTCTCTTCTCATTAGGGCAGGGTTCCTGGCCAAGGGGTGCGTCTGCTCACATACTGGGGAGAGGCGAAGGGAGGGAATACATGGAAAGGAGAGAGATAGAGGGATGGGGACAGAACCAATAGAGGGAAGGCAACAGACGCAGATTTAAGGATGGGGTTAGAGACACAGGAGTGGAGCCAAGAGATAAGGGAAAAGATGGCACAGAAAAACACTGGTTGGGACCCAGACCCCAGGATAAAGGAAATAGCCCACGGAGAGAGACTTAGGAGTTCGGTGACAGGCAGGGAGGAGCCCAACAGAACCCCTTGGTGACGGGTAGAGATGTTAGGACACTGGGAGGTCAGGGCACAGGCTCCTCAAGGCCAGCATTGTGTGTGAGCCACAGGGAGTGGGCGACATGGGAGGGACAGGGAGTTGGGCACGCTGGCCAGCTCCCCCGCCCCCGCCCGAGACGCTGTTACATTTTTAATGTCCCCGAGATACAGAGAAATGAAGCAGGGGGAGGAGGAGAAAAAGGGACCCAGTGAGGTGGCCCAGGCAGAGAGCAAGTATGTCAGAGGTGAGGAGAGACACAGGGGGATGCAGGAGGCAGAGAAACAGACCCTGAGAGATGTGGACCAGGAAACCCTGTGAGATTACAGACCCAGGGAATCCATTCAGAGGGCCGGATTCCAGGGACTGGAAGACAGGACCCAGAAACACGAAGACCACAGACGGCAGAGATGCAGAGGAGAGAGTAGGGGACAGCTAAGGCATGTGGGTATCTTCCTGGGCTAGTGAAACTGTCCTGGAGTTGGTGGTGCCGATGGGTGCACAAATCGATGAACATACTAAAACTGGACACTTTCAATGGGCAAATTGTACCGCCTGGGAATATATCTCACTAAAGCTGTTAGAGAATATGAGAGACACGGTGCAGAGACAGGCAGAGACCAGAGACACAGGAGGCAAAGTCAGACCCTAAAAACCAGATGCAGAGCGAGAAACAAGATCAGAGAAACAGAAACATGTACAGCAGCGTCTGAGGGGTTCTCTGAGGGGCTCAGCCGGGAAGAGCAGCCTAGATAGAGGTTCACCCCCAGCAATGGGAGGCCCCAGAGGGGAGGCCTTTGGGGTACCAGGCCCCTGCGGAAAGGGAAGGCAGGTGCAGAATCCAGGCCAAGGCAGGCAGTCTCATATCCTCCCAGACTGCCTCCCGGATGTCCGCTGTGAGGGTGGGCACTGTGATTAATGCAATTAATTAATTAACGAGGTGGCTGAGGCAGCAGCTGAGGCCAGCGCCAGGAGCACACTGGCCTTCAAGGGCCTGTGGAGTCTGGCCGCACCCTGTGGGAGAGGGCGGGTCACGCTGGGGCTTTATAGGTTTTGAGTGGGTGAGCCAAGCCCTGAGGAGCCAGCCAGGTGGAGCCCAGTCTCAGCTCCTGAAGGCCAGACCCTAGCCCCTCCCTCCTCCAGGGTTTCCATAAGGCACTGTGTCCCCTCATCTCTGCCTGGGTCCCCCCTCCCCTGGGCTTACACGATGTGCACCACTCTGCCACCACAGGAAGCCTGCAGGCCCGGGCCACAGGGAAAGGAAGCGTGTCTGGGGACCCAGCTGACACCTCATGAAGCTGTCACCAGTCTGACCTCCTGAGGGAAGCCGGCGTTCCCAAGGCCACTCTCCCCCATTGTGGGCCTGGCCGTGTCCCGGCCAAGGTCAGAGCGTGGGCACCCACCCAGCAGCATGCTGGGTCCTAGGGCCCTAACTCCAGGCTAGCCATCTTCCTGGCTTTATTCCTCCCCCCCCCACTCTACCCAAACCATCAGGGCATCGGCCCACACCCCACCCCCCTCACCCTCACAGCCTGTCAGCGCCCCTGTCTTCCTAACCATTCTAAGACCCGAATGTGTTCCAGTCCAGTTTGTCCTCCATCTCCATCACTCCTAACCAGGTCCCAGGTGCCTTTTCCCCTGGGTCTCAGCCCCACTCCATTCTGAGGTCTTTTTTCTAAAGCACAAACCTAACCCTGTCCCCCGTCCCCCGTCCCCCCTCTATAACTCTCTATGGCTCCCCAGTGCCCTCAGGAAAAAGTCCAAGCTTGTACTCAACCTCAGCCTGTGTGATCCAGTATACTGTTGATTTCCCATCCTCATCTCATTCATTCAACACATTTATGAAACTCCTACAGTGTGCCAGGCACTGTGCTAGGCTCTGGGGATGTGGCGGGAAACTAGACACAGAGGTCGAAAATCCCTGCCCCTCCCACCTCCCCCTCCCCCGCACTGATATTCTAGTGGAGAAGATACATCAGGAGCTAGAGGGAAAAGATTAGGGTGGGAAAGACCTGAGGGAAGCGAGGGAGGGAGCTGTGGAGACACGTGGGGAAGAGCGTTCCAGAGGCAGGGAACAGCGAGTGCAGAGACCCTAAGGTGGGACTTGCCTGGCATGTTTGAGGAGCAGTGAGGCCAGTGTGGCTGGAACAGGGTGAGCCAGGGGGAAAGGGTGGGAGACAGGTCAGAAGGAGGACGAGCACAGACCATGCGGGACCTGTGCCCTTGGTAAAGACTGGAGCTCTTTTCTGCGTGAAGAGAGAGCCGTGGGAGAACTCAGAGCAGGGAGGGGCGGCCGGATCTGCCTTAGCATCTAACACGACCCTCTGGCTGCTTGTGGCAACAGACTGAGAGGCAACTGCCGTCCTCCCTGGGGAATGACCCAGGAGGTAGGTGACAGTTGCTTGTAGATTTTTTTTTTCTAAGGGAGAGACTTTTAATTGATTTTAGAAAGGAAGGAAGAGGGAGAGATAGAAACATCGATGATGAGAGAGTCTCATTGATTGGCTGCCTCTTGCACACCCCCTCCTGGGGATTGATCCCACAACCTGGGCATGTGCCCTTGACCGGAACCGAACCCGGGACCCTTCAGTCCGCAGGCCGGTGCTCTATCCGCTGAGCCAAACCGGCCAGGGCTGTAGATGTAGATGTGTTTTGAAGATGGAGCGGACAAGTTTCCTGATGGACTGCATATGGGGTGAGAGAGAGGGGGGACTCAGGGGGGACTCCAAACCTTTTACTGAAGTGGAAATGCCTAAAGAACGGGCTGTCAATGCACAGGGACAGAGCCATCCTGGTCATTCCTTCAGAATTAGAAACGTAGAATGGGAGCCTTATAGCTGCAGGATCTTAGAGCCTAGTCACAGCGTGTGGCCATCTGGACCAGGGTGCCGGGGATGAAAATGGCCTGAGGAGTTTGCAGCAACCGAAGCTCAAAGTGGGTTGGTTTGTTTTTTAATCTGAAGCCGACTGCCGAGACGCCACCCTAGATGTGCAAGGGCAGCCTCCCTTAGAAGAGAGAGGGAAGCGTCTCGCAATCACAAGGACCCAGAGAGGGGTGTGGGGCTCTGTAGGCCTGGAGCTCAGTTTCCCTTGGAAAGGAATCAGGTCTTTTCCTCCAGGAAGCCCTCCCAGCTTACCTCAGATGGGTTAGCTCCTGCTCTGGGTTCTTCCCCACTCCCACCCCTTCAGTCTTAACCACATCCTTGGTTTTGACTGTGCAATATTTGTCTTCCCCACTGGAATGTCAACTCCTGGAGGACAAGCGCCTGATTTGGCCTGGCACTTCTGTGGCACCGGCTCTGCTCACAGTCAACAGTATTTATTGAGCACCTGCTACTTGGGGGCCCCTGGCGTATAGGCTGTGGGGATACAGGAGGGAACCAGACAGACACGCCCCTGTCCTCAGGGGCTGACTCTAACACCCAGGGCCTGTTTGTTGAGCCACTATTTGGGTTTGCACAGAAGGGGAAAGAATGGCCAGAGAGAAGATTCTTCCAGGCCGGGTCCTCTCCCCTTCACTCAATCCCTTCAAGTTCTACACCAAGTCTCAGGCTTAACTTCTGGGTCTTTTTATCCAGCCCTTTTCGAGGCCCTTTTGCTATCTGATGATCCATTTCCATCCGGCTCCCCCCTAAGCCAAGCCATTCTCCAATGGAGGGACCCTCAGCGCCTCCCACTTGCCTCAAGGAGAAAGCCCACCTCTTGGTCCCACCTACTTTGCTCTCTGTAGCTCACTGGCCTGGGTGTTTTTTCCTGACCCAGCTAGAAAGGGGCGGAGCCTTTGGGGCCCCTGGTCCCATATCCTGCCTTTGGGGGCCAGGTGGGTGAAGGGTCCTGGCACCTGAGGGAATGTCCTGAGGGAAGGGGCGGTCCCACCTTAGCTCCACCCAGCCGTCCTCCCACCACGTCCGTTTTAGTCCGGATTTTGACGTTTAATCTTCTGACCCATTGTGCTGAGAGTGCAGTTGGAAACAGCGCTGTGAGGGCCGTGGGAGCGGCAGCTGACCGCCAGTGCTTGGCTCAGCCGGGCCCGGCCCTGCGAAGACTTGGGGGAGAAAATCATTTTGTGGAACTTCACAGGGGGCCCTGCAGGGCAGCTTACACCCCCCCATTTTATAGATGGAGGAACTTAAGCTCAGGAACAAGGTCACCCGCCTGGAAGCAGCCAGAGGGAAGCCCCAGTGATCTGCTGGAGTCCCATGCGCCTGAGTCTATAGTGCTGCCCCTCGGGTGGGAGCACCCCCCCCAAGGTGGCACCCTTGGGTGTGAGTTGTTGATGTGTGTGTGTCACACAGTGGCCTTCACTGATGGATGGCTTCTTTCCAAAAGTCCCTGGGACGCCCCACCCACAGGCTGCCTTTTGCTGGGCACCCTCTCATTAAGGTCACCTGTTCCTGTGCTTGGTGTGTTGAGGTCAAGGCTGGTCAGGGAGAGCTGGGCGGCAGTTGCCCTTTGAGAGCTGGGCGTGTGCCCTTGGCTGGCCTTGCCTGGAGGCTGAGTGTCAAGGGCCTCTTGAAACCATACTGAGCTGGCTGCGTTTATTTAACAAGCAGTGGTCGTGGATTTCCTGTGGCCTCGCGTGAGCGCTCCACAAATATTCCTTAAAGTTTATAACAACCCCTAGGAAGTGGACGCGGTTATTATCCTTGTTTGACAGCTGAGGAGACTGAGGCACAGAGAGGTTCAATGACTTGCCCAAGGTCACACAGCCAGCAAGTAGGTAGGCTTTACCCTCAGTTGCCATAGAAACATTCAACGTTTCTCTCCTCCTTTTCTCTCTCTCTCAAATAAATTTTTAAAAAAAAAATTTTTTTTTTTAAGCGAGAAAACTGCCTGGCCAGGGTGGCTCAGTGGTTGAGTGTCGACCCATGAACTAAGAGGTCACCGGTTAGATTCCCAGTCAGGGCACATGCCCGGGTTGCAGGCTCAATCCCCAGCAGGAGGCAGCCGATCAATGTTTCTATCTATCCCTTCCCGCCCTCTCTAAAATCAATCAAAATATTTTCTTTCTTTTTTTAAATATATTTTTATTGATTTCAGGGAGGAAGGGTGAGGGAGAGAGAGATAGGAATATCAATGATGAGAGAGAATCATTGATCGGCTGCCTCCTGCACAACCTCCTACTGGAGACTGAGCCCACAACCCAGGCATGTGCCCTTGACTGGAATCGAACCCGGGACCTCTCAGTCCACAGGCCGACGCTCTATCCACTGAGCCAAACCAGTTAGGGCTCAAAATATTTTCTAAGTGAGAAAACAAAAATAAGCTGAGAAATAAAAACATACATTCACACAAAAACTTGTACTCAAATGTTCAGAGCAGCTTTGTTCATAACTGCCCCAAAGTGGAAACAACACAGATGTCCATCAACTGAACAGATAAACAAAATGCAGTCTCTCCAAACCATGGAATAGTATTTGGCCATGAAAAAGGAAGCAAGTACTGACCGATACTACAGTGGATGAGCCTTGAAAACATTATTCCGGGCGAAATAAGCCAGTCACAGAAGGCTGTATGTTCACATGAAATGTCCAGAATAGGGCAATCTCTGGAGACAGAAAGTACATTAGTGATTGCTCGGGGCTGAGGGCAGGGGTGAAACAGGGAGTGACTGTTTAGCGGCTCCAGCAGTTTCTTTGGGGGATTATAAAAATGTCCCAGCCCTGGCTAGTGCACCAGTGGTTAGAGCGAAGGCCTGAAATCAATTCCCAGTCACAGGCACATGCCTGGGTTGCAGGTTCAGTCCCCAAGCCTGGCTGGGGTACATGTGGGAGGCAACCAATCAGTGTCTCTCTCACATCAATGTCCCTCTCCCTCTCCCTCCTTCCCCCTTCTCTTCTTACTCTCTAAAAATCAATGGGAAAAATGTTCCTGGGTGAGGATCAACATCAACAACAAAAAGTCCTAAATTGATTATAGTGATGGATTCACAACTCTTGTGAAGACAGGAAACAGCATTGAATTGTACACTTTTTTTTTTATTTATTTATTTTATATATTTTATTGATTTTTTACAGAGAGGAAGGGAGAGAGATAGAGAGTTAGAAACATCGATGAGAGAGAAACATCGATCAGCTGCCTCCTGCACATCTCCTGCTGGGGATGTGCCCACAACCCAGGTACATGCCCTTGACCGGAATCGAACCTGGGACCCTTCAGTCCGCAGGCCGACACTCTAATCCACTGAGCCAAACCGGTTTCAGCGGAATTGTACACTTTTAACGGATGGATAGGAATTACATCTCAATAAGCCTAGGTGAAAAAATAAGATAAGTTCCCTGGCTAAGTGGCCGAGTGTCCACCTATGAACCAGGAAGTCACGGTTCCATTCCCAGTCAGGGCACCTGCCCAGGTTTTGGGGTCAATCCCCAGTGGGTAGCATGCAGGTGGCAGCCGATCAATGATTCTCTCTCATCATTGATGTTTCTATCTCTCTCACCCTCTCCCTTCCTCTCTGAAATCAATAAAAATATATTAAAGAAAAACAAGATAGGCAGAGAGAGCTGTAGGTTTTATAGAAAGGTGAGGGAAAGTCCATTACTGTGCAGAAAAAGATGAAGACGGTCCTCGCACTTCAATTTATTTATTTATTTATTTTTAATCCTCACCCAAGGATATTTTTCTTTTCTTTTTAAAATATTTGTATTGATTTCAGAGAGGAAGGGAGAGGGAGAGAGAGATAGAAACATCAATGAAAAGAGAGTCTCATTGACCGGCTGCCTCCTGCACACCCCCCACTGGGGATCGAGCCCACAACCCGGGCATGTGCCCTTGACTGGAATCAAACCCAGGACCCTTCAGTCAGCAGGCCAATGCTCTATCCACTGAGCCAAACCAGCCAGGGCCCAAGGATATTTTTCCATTGATTTTTAGAGAGAGTGGAAGGGAGGGGAAGAGACAAAGAGATAGAAACATCGATGTGAGAGAGACACATCGATTGGTTGCCTCCCACACACGCCTAACTGGGGCCGGTGTGGAGCCCTGAGGTGTGTGCCCTTGACCAGAATCGAAGAACCTGAGATCCTTCGGTCTGAGACGCTCTTCACTGAGCCAAACTGGCTAGGGCTCAAAAATTGTTTTTGTTTCTTTATTTTTTCTTGTGTTTTTTTGGGGGAGGAGGGAGTGGGTGGGAGGAGGGCTCAAAGTTTTTTAAAAATTTATTTTGGCCGAAACCGGTTTGGCTCAGTGGATAGAGCGTCGGCCTGCGGACTGAAAGGTCCCAGGTTCGATTCTGGTCAAGGGCATGTACCTGGGTTGCGGGCACATCCCCAGTGGAAAATGTGCAGGAGGCAGCTGATCGATGTTTCTCTCTCATCGATGTTTCTAACTCTCTATCTCTCTCCCTTCCTCTCTGTAAAAAATCAATAAAATATATTTTAAAAAAAAATTTATTTTGGAGCCCAGCCGGTGTGGCTCAGTGGTTGAGCATCAACCTATGAACCTGGAGGTCACGGGTTCGATTCCTGGTCAGGGCATATGCCTGGGTTGCAGGCTCGATCCCCAGTATGGGGTGTGCAGGAGGCAGCCAATCAATGATTCTCATCATTGATGTTTCTATCTCTCTCTCCCTCTCCCTTCCTCTCTGAAATAAATAAACTCAAAAATATTTTTAAAAATTTATTTTGGAATACATGTATGAGTTAGAAAAACAGCCCCTCCCACTACACCTGACAGTATGTAACATTTACCACATTTGTTTCACCACTTTTTCTAGACCTTTTTATGGTTTTTGCTGAAAAAGCATTTGAGAATATGTTGCAGACATGACATTTAATCCTATATTTTCTAAGAAAAAGGAATACCATATAACCATCATTTATTCAAACCATTTAAGAATATTAACAGTAACTCCATAATAATATGTCATATAGTCCGGACTCAGATGTTCCTAGTTTTTCACAAAACGTCTTTTCTGGCTGGCCTTTTTGGAATCGTAACTTCCAGAAAGCTGAGCATGGTGTTTTCCCATGCGGCCCCCTCCGTGCTGGCCCCGCCCTGCCTGGAGGTCTGGGTGCTCCCCCCACCCACCTCTCTCTCTGCTCTCTCCCCAGGAGCCCAGAATGGGCGAGTTAGCATGCCGCCCGAGGTGCGAGGCCGCCTGGGGGACACAGTGGAGCTGCCGTGCCACCTGCTGTCGCCAGGGCCTAAAGGCAACGTCTCACAGGTGACATGGCAACGTCTGGACCCGTCCGGGAACTCTCAGAGTGTGGCCGCCTTCCACCCTTCCCATGGTCTCAGCTTCCCCAGCCCGCAGTTTGGCAAGGACCGGCTGTCCTTCCGCACCATGGGGCAGAGCCCTGGTGCCCGGCAAGGCTCCGAGATGCGGGACGCCACGCTGGTCCTCCAGGACCTGAGAGTGGAGGATGAGGGCAACTTCTCCTGCGAGTTTGCTACCTTCCCCCTGGGCACCAGTCGTGGAGTGACCTGGCTCAGAACCATAGGTGAGCAGGGGCGGGGATAGGGGGGTTGGGGGAGCAGGGAAGTGGGAGAGCCCCTTGCTGGTCTATTTCTGTCTGCTTTCTCCGCGGTCTTCAGTCAGTTGGCAAGTGTTAAGCAAGTACTGTTTGCAGATGCTGTTCTGCAAGTTGGGAATATAGCAGCCAACAAGGCATTCAACAAACATAGTATATTGAATACCTACTGTGTGCCAGGCGCTATTCTAGGCTCTAGGGATAAAGTCCTCCTGGAGCTTATACTCCAGTAAAGGGGTGCCAGAGAGTAAGTAAAAAGAAGAAGAAGAGTGAGTCAGGTGGCTGTAGGTGCTGTAGAAGTTGGGGGGAGGGGGGAAGGTTACAAGTTTAGGGAGGTCTGGCAATATTTGAACAAAAACTGGAATGAGGTGACGGAGCCGTGTAGGTCTATGTAAGGGAAGAGAGTTCAGGCGGGGGGAGTAAGTGCAAAGGCCCTGAGGTAGGGTGCACCTGGAATATCTAAGGAAGAGCAAAGAAGTCTGTGTGGCTGGAGATGCATGAATGGGGGAAAGTAGGCAGGGACAAGGTCAGGGAGGTGAGGGTCATAGACGGCCTTGTAGACAACATGAAGACTCTGGCTTTTGATCTAGGAGAACAAGAGCTATGGAAAGTCTGAGCAGGGAAAGGTGTGACCTAACTTGGGTTTTCACAGGCTCCTTCCCGCTGCATGTGGGAGGCGAAAGTGGAAGCTGGGAGACCTCAGAGGAGGTGACTGCGTAAGTCTGGGTAGGAAGTGATGGCGACTAAACCAAGGGCGAGGCAGTGGAGGGGGTGGGAAGTATTTTTTTTTTTTTTAAATATATTTTATTGAATTACAGAGAGGAAGGGAGAGGGATAGAGAGTTAGAAACATCAATGAGAGAGAAACATTGATCAGCTGCCTCCTGCACACCCCCTACTGGGGATGTGCCCCCATCCAAGGTACATGCCCTTGACTGGGATCAAACCCGGGACCCTTCAGTCCTCAGGCCAACGCTCTATCCACTGAGCCAAACCAGTTAGGGCGGTGGGAAGTATTTTAGAGGTAAAGCCAGAGGATAATCAACTAGTGAACAAGAGAAACGCCAGAATGTTGTAATACTCACTCGGCGTAAGAGATCCAGTGGCCTTATTTAGAGAGAAAGGCCAGGAAACGCTGAAGAAGAAGGCTGCCCATGGGCTGCAGCCGCAAGCAGAGGCACGGAGGCACAAGCAGAGGGAACAGCGTATGCAAAAGCTGGGGCGTGAGAGCGAGCTTGACATGTTCCAGGAACAGAAAGAAGGCTGATGGCAAGGGCTTGAGTGACCCTCAAGGCAGGAAAACCAACAGGACCAGACTGCGTGGGCCTCACAGGCCGCGGCGGCCAGGAGGCTGGAGCCGTCGGAGGGGGTTAGACCACAAAAGCACCCTGATCAGATGGTTAAAGTTATGAAAAGATAAAACGGGGGGAGGGGGCATTAAAGGCGGAGACAAAGGCAGGAGACCAGACGGGAGAAGCATTGGCTTTGAAGAGGAGGAAGTGGTGATGGGGGTAGAGAGAAGTGGGTGGAATAGGTACTTTTCGGAGGTGGTAGGTGCTTGTCCCTGAATTGGAGGAGGAGGACCGGGAAGGACTCCCGGCCTCTGGCTCCAGCAGGAGGGCGACTGGCCCCGCCTCTCAGTGAGCGGAATGGGCAGAATCAGGGAGGGCACTTTTTCCCCAAAGGATGCCATTTCTTGCTAAATCTTGGCATTCCCCTGGAATCTCACCTTTTCCCAGCAGCTTCCCAGAAGCCATGTCACCCTGGCCGTGTATTTTCCCCCCTCAGCCCCACAGAGTTCCGGAGGACTCCGCAGTACAGTCCCAGATGTGTTTACTTCTCTTTTTAAGGAGCTGAAACCAGTCGTTTCACTCAACTCAAAGCACAGCTCTCCTCTCCCCGCCCTTCCCAAAGGTCTCTCTTGTGCAATCATTTGTTCTGTTCAAGAGACACACTGAGGGCACCTGCGGCGGGAGGAGCGGGGACAGCCCCGCTCTGCTTCCTTGGAGGGAGCCGGTGGCGTGAGTGAGCGTCACTATCGAGAGAGTCAGATGTCAGGAAAGCTCTGTGAGGAAGTGAGGCTGGGAGCTGGAGGAGGAGGAAGAGCAAGCCAAGGAGAAGGGAGGCCAGACCCCCACGGTGGGTCGGAGCAGGGGCGGGCGTTCCTCGAGCGGTCAGAGGACAGATGTGGGGGTGGCCAGGGAAGATGTGGGGAGGCCCATCGGAGGCTGTGCTGGTCAGGGAGAAGGGGAAGAGGAGGAACGGAGAGGAGGACTGTCTCGCATTCAGAAGCTCAGGAGACACCCCGATGAGGTCCCGAAGGCAGCGAGCGCTGCGAGTCAGAACGCGGGGGCCAGTTCTGATTATGGACACGCATCCAGACCTACGGGTTGGCATTGTTCCTCCTGGAGGTTTTTATTCCTCCAAATGTTTTCCAAGAGGATGGGTGAAAAGGGCAAAAAAAATGATGAGCTTTGGGTTTCTTCACTGCCTTTATCCCACTTCTGCCGCCACAATTATGGTGATTATCGGAGAAGTCGGCCTTCAGCTGGATCTCTGGGCTTTTCTTTTTAAATCCCAGGCTCTTGGACACTCCGCTTGTCTAGCAGAGCCGGGAGCGGACACCGGCTGCAGGACATAATGGCTAGCGCTTAGGTTGAGCCGTGCGTGCCAGGCACCCGTCAGTGTATTTGGGTATCCATGTATTTGGTCCACACAACCATTCTCTGGAGTGGGTACTTTTACTGTCCCCACTTCACAGAAGAGGGAACCGAGGTACCGAGCTGGGAAATCACTTGTGTCCAAAGCCGCGCAGCTGCTAAGCAGCAGGGCCGGGGTTTGAACACGGGCGTTGGGGCTGCACTGCTCGGCTCCGCTGTGACCACCACCCCCTTCGTTCTTCTCCCAGCCCAGCCCCAGAACCGCGCTGAGGCCCAGGAGGTCACACTCCGCTCGGAGCCGGTGCCCGTGGCCCTCTGTGTCTCCTCGGGGGGCCGCCCACCCGCCAAAATCTCCTGGCTCTCGCCCCTGCGTGGGGAGCCCAAGGAGAGCGAGACGGCCGGGCCCCTGGCCGGCACAGTCACCGTCACCAGCCGCTACGCCGTGGTGCCCTCGAGCCAAGTAGATGGGGTCCAGATCACCTGCAAGGTGGAGCACGAGGCCATGAAGGAGCCGGACCTGATGCCCGTGACCCTCTCTGTGCGCTGTGAGTGCCTCACCCGTGACCGCACCTCTCCTGCTGTCTACGCTGGCTTCCCCGGGCACTGTCTGCACTGCCCCTCAGTGTTGTCCACCTTGGCTCTGGGCCACATTCTGCCCTGCCTACCTGCCCTTCGCCTGTACTTCCACCCCGGCTCCCCCGGCCACATCCACACACTGTCCCCGTGTCGTCTACCTGGCTCCACGCGGCCACCGTCAGTGTAAGCACTGCCCCCACTGTCTGTATCAACCACTCGGAGTCTGCACTGCCTGCGCCAACACTGTCTACACACACACGCTCATTCAGAAGGTTTCTATCGACTTTCTTAGGGTCTCTACACCAACTCCTGCTTCCGAAAATGATTCCCATCGACCCCACTGGGCCCTGACAGTACTGACCCCTTCCAGGATGTTCTATGCTAGCTCTTCCCAACACTGCGCACACGCACACCCGCTCATACGGCCCGAGAGGCTCCCTGGCACTGTGCCCACCAGCCCTGTCTTTCAGTCACCCACAGCAACATGCTCACACTCCTCCCAACAATGCCTTCGCTTGCCAGTGGTTCTCAGCCTTCCTCATGCCGCGACCCTTTAATACAGCTCCTCATGTTGTGACCCCCAATTTCATTGTTACAAATTGAACACAATTAAAGCAGAGTGATTCATCACAAAAACAGTATGTAATTATATACGTGTTTTCCGATGGTCTTAGGCGACCCCTGTGAAAGGGTCATTTGACTCCCAAAGGGGACGCCACCCCAGGTTGAGAACCGCTGGCTTAGACCAAGGCTCAGCCAGATTCCCTTATCTACTCTGTAGTGAAAATAGCACAGTCGGTAGCAGCCCCCAGGGTACTGCCTGTGCTGAGAAAAACTTGCCCCAAGTGGTGGGAGCGGGGTCCCTGTACTGGCCTCCGCAGACACACCGGAGGGATTCGCCCCTGACGGTTCCCACGGTTCACCTCCTGCCAACCTATTCCATTTCTATAGGATTCCGTCTGTCTGCCTGCCTGTCATCCCCTTTGGGATTCTCCCCTCTCTGAGCCAATCCCCCCATTTCCTCCAGACCCCCCCGAGGTCTCCATCTCTGGCTATGACGACAACTGGTACCTCGGCCGTAGTGAGGCCACTCTGAACTGTGATGTCCGCAGCAAACCTGAGCCCACAGGCTATGTCTGGACCACGTGAGTCCTGGGTGGACCTGGACTCCTGGGTCTGAGGGAGGAGGGGCTGGGGACCTGGACTCCTGGGTCTGAGGGAGGAGGGGCTGGGGGCCTGGACCCCTGGGTCTGAGGGAGGAGGGCTGGGGGCCTGGACCCCTGGGTCTGAGGGAGGAGTGGCTGGGGGCCTGAACCCCGGGGTCTGAGGGAGGAGGGGCTGGGGGCCTGGACCCCTGGGTCTGAGGGAGGAGGGGCTGGGGGCTGGACTCCTGGGTCTGAGGGAGGAGGGGCTGGGGGCCTGGACCCCTGGGTCTGAGGGAGGAGGGGCTGGGGGCCTGGACCCCTGGGTCTGAGGGAGGAGTGGCTGGGGGCCTGAACCCCTGGGTCTGAGGGAGGAGGGGCTGGGGGCCTGGACTCCTGGGTCTGAGGGAGGAGGGGCTGGGGGCTGGACTCCTGGGTCTGAGGGAGGAGGGGCTGGGGGCTGGACTCCTGGGTCTGAGGGAGGAGGGGCTGGGGGCTGGACTCCTGGGTCTGAGGGAGGAGGGGCTGGGGGCTGGACTCCTGGGTCTGAGGGAGGAGGGGCTGTGGCCTGAACTGGGGATCCTCCAAAAGGAGGGAGCGGACAGCGCAGGGTCCCTGGAGCCTGGCTCCTGCGGGCTGTGTGATCAAGGATCTGCCCTGTGCTCTGTGGACCCTGCTGTCCCCCTCATGTGACCTCCACATTCTCCAGGACCTCAGGCTCCTTACCAGCCTCAGCAAAAGAACAGGACTCCCAGCTGATGGTCCCCCTGGTGGATAGGCTGGTCAACACCACCTTCATCTGCACCGTCAGCAACGCCGTGGGCACGGGCCGGGCCGAGCAGGTGGTCCTCGTTCGAGGTGAGCGGGTCTCGGGGGCGGCGTGTGATGACTGGGTCTGTCCCCACGCTCCTCTCTTGGCTCTGGGCTTCGCTGGGGGAAGCTGTGCCGCCGGCTGGGGAGGGGTCCTGACCCGCCTGGCTGATGGGAGAGGACGGTGGTGTGGTTTTCTCTCTTGCCCCCAGGGGGGACCTGGGTTGGGCTGATAGAGGGTAGGTGTTGGCAGAGGAGTTCTGGAGGTGGAGGCCTGTGCTGGGCACTTCCTGGAGGGGAGAGGCGGGCAGGGTCTTCAGGAAGCGACCAGTGACCCTGCCTGGGCTCCAGCCAGTGAGATGCCCACCGACTCACACCACTAACCCTTGGAGAGACATAAATGAGGCAGACAGGCGGAAACAAACCCGAATTTCTTTTCTTTTTTTAAAATATTTTTATTGATATCAGAGAGGAAGGGAAAGGGAGAGAGAGATAGAAACATCAGTGATGAGAGAGAATCATTGATCGGCTGCCTCCTGCACGTCCCCTACTGGGGATCAAGCCTGCAACCCAGGCATGTGCCCTTGGCCGGAATCGAATCCGGGACCCTTCAGTCCACAGGCTGACGCTCTATCCACTGAGCCAAACCGGCTAGGGCTAGACCCAAATTTCTTATAGTGAATACTGGTCGTTGCCCTCTGGAGCCACTGGCAGTGCATGTCGGGGCGTTTGTGTTTCTGGAGTTGGTACTTTGGAAACGGTGGCTGATGATAAAATGGGTCTGTGGGTGGAAAGTTCTCTGAGTCCCCTTGATGCGAACTCAGAAACACAGACCCCAAGACACACGGCCAGAGAGGAAAAGAGCAAAGGCAGACTCAGCCTGTGCAGTGGGGTTGGGATCTCAGCCATGCACGCACACACCTGGGGCGAGGCAGGGACTGCCACGGGGCCGTGCACCCCGACACTCAGACACAGATGGACCCCATGGCTGGGAGAGTCCCCTTCATGTCAGAGCCACAGCCAGCAGGACCGGTGTCTACAGACACACCCTGTGCTTGGAGATGCATTGGAATCAAAACAACCTCGCCCATAATGTAGCCCACATACTGTTGTCACCACGACACCCCCCCCCACGCGGGCAGGGGCACAGCCAAGACACTGAACAAAACCAGATAACAGCCAGCCAGAGCCCGAGAAACACCCCACGTACTGGGATGAGCCATTCTGGAAACTCCCTCCAGCGTGGCTCTCTGTGACACATACCTGTGTGGACACACGACACAGGAACAGTGGCCTGGCCCCCTCCCAAGCACGACCACAGACCGGTGTGAAGGCAGACACAAAAGACGGCTGGAGGCAGACCCCCCAGACAATCTGACATCACACGCATCTAGAAAGACACCCGATGACAACAGACCTCTCTTGGGGAACGCAGACACTCGCCAGGAGATACGATGGGCCCCCTCAGAAACACAGTCACAGACAACACGCTCAGCTGGCCAGCTCTCCACATGGTGTCCCGCTCGGACACACACACACACACACACACACACCTGAAGGGGGACACGGCCACCGGATGTGCTGGGGGAGGGGAAAGGGTCACAGGAATCTGCAGTTCACATGCATATCAATGTGGAGAAACTCCACGGCAGACTCGGGGTGCACACCCTCAGAAACTCCCAAAACCCGTTAGAGAGGGTCTCTTTCAACCAATTGTCATCTGACGAATACTAGTCAAGGTTTCCTCTTGGCCAGGCTTTCTCCTTGATGCTTTCTCCTTTGCCAACAAGTAGCCTCGCCCCGGAAGAAACTCCCCGCTCCTGGCAGGAGGGTTCAGGGAACACAGTAGCGAATGAGACACACCCAGAGAAGTCGGCTCCACCCACCCAGCAAGGCACCCAACGGGAACCTCTACCCCAGAAACACACCTGAGAAACGGGTTCCCACCCACACTCAGAAGGCACCTCCAAGGGCTGCAGCCTGCAGGACACAGACGCAGGCACACTTAAGGGCCATCGGAGGAATACACAGCCCTGAAAACATCCCGCGCCCCCTCCCCCCCACACACACACACGCAGAAACCCCAGGGTTGTCCACTGCTGGGCACACACCAGCTCCAGAGTTCAGCCCTTTGGCCGTGTCCGCCCAGTGAAACGTACCCCGTGGCCCGTCGGGGTCCAGGGGCCAGGGATGCACACAGAATCACAGCCCCAGAAAGACCGAGCCGTAAGGAAAGACGCCCCCTCCCCCGGACTATCCCAAAGCTAGCCACAGACCGAGGGGCAGTCAAAAACACCGTAAAGCCACACCCACAGGTAGATGCCAACAGAAATCCTGACCCTGGCAGTGAGTTTGCCAACAAGTAGCCTCGCCCCAGAAGAAACTCCCCGCTCCTGGCAGGAGGGTTCAGGACACACCACATTCCCCCACGCACCCAGACCCAGACATGCTGTCATCGCCTCGTGTGGGGTTCACACCGGTGCAAATGTGGGTACACAGGCCACACCGCAGGCTAGACGTCCCTTCGGGGAGACTTGGGGGAACTTTCAGCCCCGGGCCCATGAACACTCGCTGCTGGCTCAGTGCCGCTCCAGGAGCAGACGTCCCTCCACGCTGCAGCCGGTTCCAGACCCACCTAGTGCTCAGGGAGAGACATACATTTTCCCCAAAAAAGGTTCACAAAGTAGTACTTACCCTTCATACTTGAGGCACATTCCTGCTCTTTTTTACTGCTGCTTGCGAGTCACTAACTGCTTTGACAGCCCTTTTTTAAAACACCCATCAAGTCGCCCTCAGGGCCCTGTGCGCAGAGGCTGGGGAGGGGAGGGCCTGTGTAAGTGGGCCCCTCCTGGTCTCTCCCCTGCACAGGGGGTGGGGGAAGAGCATGTGTGAGCAGGTTCCCATTGTATCATGTCTGTCCCTGGTGTGGAGCCCAGCCCTCCCTGGCTTCCTTGTCACCTCTCTCCTCCTCCGACAGGCCTCTCCCTGCAGTTCAGCCAGTGCAGGGGGCACTAGAGGGCAAGGGACAGTGGGCTTCATGAGCCCCATTTTCTGCACTGGGGATGGGTGGCCCAGGCAGGAGGGAGGTGGCCCAGGCAGGAGGGAGATGGCCCAGGCAGGAGGGGGGTGGCCCAGGCAGGAGGGAGATGGCCCAGGCAGGAGGGCGGTGGCCCAGGCAGGGGGGGGGTGGCCCAGGCAGGAGGGGGGTGGCCCAGGCAGGAGGGAGGTGGCCCAGGCAGGAGGGAGGTGGCCCAGGCAGGAGGGGGGTGGCCCAGGCAGGAGGGAGGTGGCCCAGGCAGGAGGGAGGTGGCCCAGGCAGGAGGGCAGTGGCCCAGCCAGGAGGCGGGTGGCCCAGGCAGGAGGGGGGTGGCCCAGGCAGGAGGGAGGTGGCCCAGGCAGGAGGGGGGTGGCCCAGGCAGGAGGGGGGTGGCCCAGGCAGGAGGGAGGTGGCCCAGGCAGGAGGGGGGTGGCCCAGGCAGGAGGGGGGTTGTCCAGGCAGGAGGCAGGCCACGCCGCCCAGACCAGGCGCTCCCAGCGCTTCAAGGGAGGAATTCTCAGAAGGTCCCTTCTCCTCTCGAGTACAAAGAGGTTTGGAGTCAGACAGCCTCCCGCTCAAATCCACCTCTCCCTCTTCCTGGCTGGATCCACCCCAAGATTTTGTGACCGTGACCTCAGCTCATCCTCAAGGGGTCACATGCCTCCTGGGTCCTGGCGCGCGACCTGGTGGCCGGGTGTGGAACTCTGTTCCCTGCCCAGTCACAGCCTTCACTCCGCTACAGCCCATCACCAGGTGGAAGGCATGAGACTGGTGTTGCCAGATCTGACCCCCACCCCTAACCCCAAATGGAATTTTCAGTGAAATCACCTGGTTTCTGAAATGTTGGCTAGAAAGTTTAATAATACTGTGCGGGTATACGGATATCTGAGGCCACCCGCTGGCATCCCCTCTGCATACAGAGCACTCAGCCTGTAGCAAAGAGAGAATGGGCCCCCCCCCCCCCCGCCATTTTGCCCGGTCAGTCACCTCCCTGTTCCTGTCACTCCCCTGCCGTGTCCTCCCCAGATGTATCCTCTTGACCTTGTGTCTCCCTTTCTCTCTCTCACCCCTCCTTCTCTCTCCTCAGACGGCCCCCGGGCCTCTTCCCGAGACGAGGGCCCAATGGTGTGGGGGGCCGTGGGGGGGACACTGCTGGTGCTGCTGCTTCTGGCTGGGGGGGCCTTGGCCTTCATCCTGCTGAGGGTGAGGAGGAGGAGGAAGAGCCCTGGGGCAGCAGGAGGCGGACCAGAGAGCGGCCAGGGACCCTATGATCCGAAGACTCAAGGGTTTGAGAACGGAGGCCCCGTCTTCTGGACCACCACGGCCCCTGGCCCCCCGAGGCCGGACGGCAAGGACACGGAGGAGGGCTACGAGGAAGAGGAGGAGGAGGCAGAGAAAGGCCGCATGCTGCCTCCATCCCCGGCACTCGAGGATGACATGGAGTCCCAGCTGGACGGCTCCCTCATCTCCCGGCGGGCGGTTTACGTGTGACCCCCAGACAGAGAGACAGACGAGCCTGCGGGGGCCGCGGGTGACAGACTGGTTGGACTCGTTTGTCTGGATGACACTGGAGCGCAAATGCTACCTCCCACTTTCCTGGGATTCAGAGGGAGGTGGAATATCACACACTGGACTTACGGCTCCAGGGCTGCATGGGGAGGGGAAGGGGGACCCACAGCGGACCCCCCCCAGAGACTTGGTTTTGGCTCTGGCCTGCCCCAGCCCTGCCCTGTGACACTCAGGAGTTAATAAACTTGGAGGAAAAATCAGGGGTGTCTTGTAATACACTGGACCCCCTCCTTGGGGGATCAGAAAGCTGAACTGGGCTCCATGGAGTGGGAGGCTGGGGGGCTCTTACTATCTGGGTCCTTGAAGGACACCTTGGATGCTGAGACCCCGAGCCAGTGGGATGGCATCTGGGCTTAGAGACTGGAGGGCTTGGACTTGAAGGTTCCAGCACTGAGGCTGCCTTCCCGGAGGCCAAGGGATCCCAGACCCCTGGGCGCTTGCCGAGGGTGCTATGGTCAGATTATCCGGGAGCAGCGCAGACCCAACGCCCCAAGGTTGCTGAGACCTGCGGAGGGAGTGCTGCCCTCGACGGGGCCCCCAGGAGGCAAGGCGGGCGTGGGTACTGAGAAACCAGGAAAGTCCCACCTCTCCACCCCGAGAAGTGGCCTTTCCCAGCTTCCTTCCTCTTCCTTTTCCCCTGGGGCCCAGCTAGAGGGAATTTTCAGTGATTCAGAGGTAGGGGCTGCATCCCGCCTAATTCCCCTCAACCAGAACCTCTCCCAACCCCAGGCTGGGGACTGAGGTGGGAGAATGGGAGGGGCAGGGGTAAATCCCCGCCACCTCCGCTCCCGGGCCCCAGGGCCACTGCCACGGCCTTGTCTCTGCTCCCGAGGCTGTCACTGGACTCTACTCAGTAGGCTCAGCTCCTCGGCCCAGTGGGGCTGGGCGGCCGGGAAGGGCTTGGTGAGTTTACTTCTACCAGTTTTGACTTCCACTTAATTGCTGGGGATGAAGCTGTGACGCGGGCAGACCTCACCCGCAGTCAGGACGCCTGGAACAACAGTGATTTGAGGGTGGCTGGTGTGGACTGAGCAACAATTACTCTGTTATCCTCCCACACGCAAGCCCTCCTGAGAAAGCCCAGCTGTGGAACAGGCAGTGTGGACGGGCAGTCCTGGTTCCTCTGGGGGCTGGATCTCCTCATCTGTGGAGTGGGCTTCATGGAAGGGGTGGGGCTTTTGCATTCTGGTTGCTTATCGTCTAACACCCCCTTCCAACCCCCGCCCCCCCCTTCCCACCTAGAGGGCAGGGGCGGGGATTTTGTCAATCTGGCTATAGTAGGTCCCTAGCACCCATGCCCACCCACCCTTACACATCTCGCAAGACCAGCCCGTCCCTCGGAACCCACAGCCTAGGGTAGAACTTGGCAATCACACAAGCAATTACTCCAATAACAGCTTTAGGAAGTGTGAAGCGTGTTGCACAGGAAAGGCCCATGAGGCCATGAGTTTCTCTCTCGGCATTTCCTGTGGGGTCGGGGGAGCTCTGATCCTCAGACCGGGATGACTGCATTCCCTGTAATGACTGGTTGTGATCCTAACCCCAGGATCCCCCAGTTCTCGGCCTTGTAGCTCTACTTCCCTTACCACCAGGTCCCTTCCCTCATCTCCCCGTGCACCCCCTCCTTCACTCTGCTCCTTGCTGTTCCTTAAAAACAGCACAAAGCTTCCTGCTCAGGGCCTTTGCACTGGCTGCCATTTCTGCCAGGATGTTCTCACCCCTCTCCCCCCCCCTCCATCGCTCACCCCACTACAGCTCCTTCAGATCTTTGCTCAAGTGTCACCTTGCAGTACGACTCTCTGACTACCTACTCTATCACTTCCCATCACCTTCCCCACTTTGCAGTTTTGTTTGTTTGTTTTTTAAAGATTCTTTATTTCTTTTTAGAGAGAGGAACAGGGAGAGAGAGAAATATTGATATAAAAACCAAATATTGGCCCTACCTGGTTTGGCTCAGTGGATAGAGCATCTGCCTGCGGACTGAAGGGTCCCGGGTTCCATTCCAGTCAAGGGCACATGCCCAGGCTGTGGGCTCGATCCCCAGTAGGGGGCATGCAGGAGGCAGCTGATCAACGATTTTATCTCTCCCTTTCCCACTCTGAAATCAATAAAAATATATATTTTTTTAATGTGAAGCTTTTTCAAAAACAAAACATTGATCGGCTGCCTCCTGCAGGGCCCCTATCGGGGGGTTGAGCCCACAACATTTTGGTACATGGGACTACGCCCAACCAACTGAGCCATACCAGCCACACCCGCTATAGTTTTATCCTACATCACTTACGGGCATATTGTAGTTGTTTCTGTACTGTTGGTCTCCCTGCCCAACTAGAACATAAATTCTCTCGGGGTGGGGGCTTTTGTATGTTTTATTCACCACTCTATTCCACAAAAATTGCTTGGTAAGGATAAGTTGAATGAAAGAATGTCCCCTGCCTTTGAGATAGGCAGGTGAGTGATGACTTGGGCTGGGAGTAAGGAGCTGTGGCTTCCTCCTGGAGACCCCCTTACGCTGTCCCTCTTCTTGCAGAGTCCCCCAACACAGCAGGTGCAGGAGCCACCGGTGGCATCATTGGGGGCATCATCGCTACCATCATTGCTACCGCTGTGGTCGCCACAGGCATCCTCATCTGCCGGCAGCAGCGGAAGGAACAGAGGCTGCAGGTGGCAGAGGAGGAAGACGAGTAAGTGACGCATCCTAAGCAGTGGGTGAGGGAAGGGTCCCAGAACTGGGGATCCTGAGGTGGGGGTAAATGTGGGAGAAAACCATCTGTAATGGCTCTGCGCAACAAAGACACCCCAAATAACTATAACTTAAGTAGGATAGAGAGGAGAGCTTATTTCTGTCATAAATCATGGATATGACAGCTCTGCCATGTGAAGTCATCAGAGCCCAGGCTCCTGCTAGCTTGTTGCCCCACCTTTCTTCACATTTCAAAGGCAACCCACTCTTCTGTCATTACCTACATACTTCACAGCCAGACATGGCTATCCTGGCCTCAAAGCCCCCGTTCCTGCCAGTGGGAAAGGAAATGTAAATACAGGGTATTCAAGCCTGGCGGGCATGGCTCAGTTGTTGAGTGTCAACCTATGAACCAGGAGGTCACAGTTTGATTCCCGGTCAGGCCACATGCCTGGGTTTCGGGCTCGATCCCCAGTGGAGGGTGTGCAGGAGGCAGTCAATCAATGCCCTGTAACACACAGCATCGATGTTTCTATCTCTCCTTCTCCCTTCCTCTCTAAAATCAATAAAAATATATTGTTTTAAAAAAGGAAAGAAATACAGGGTATTCAGTCACCCTTTAAGGAAATGCATCACTTCTCACTTCCATTGACCTGAACCTGTCACATGGCTGTCCCCAGCAGCAGGGCAAGCTAGGAAATGTAGTCTTTATTCTGGGTGGCCATGTGCCCAGCTGAAATCCTTATTAGTATGAGAAAGAAGGACCCTGGATATTGGGGAAAACTAGCCACACTTCTCTGTGTAGAGCCCTTGTATGTGCCAGGCTTGACGAGATGTATTTGACATATGGACTCTCGACAAAGTCTCACATCCATCATCGATTCAACCAATATTCAAAAAGTAGCCACCCAGGACCAGGCCCTGGAGGTAGGAACGCGATGAGACAAACATTTAAAAAGTGTCCATATGTGGCTCAGTGGTTGAGGGTCGACCTGTGAACCTGGGTTGCAGGCTCAATGCCCAGGAGGGGGTGTGCAGGAGGCTTCCAGTCAGTGATTCTCTCTCATTGTGAATGTTTCTATCTCTCTCTCCCTTTCCCTTCCTCTCTCTGAAATCAAAAAAACACATTTTAAAAAAATAAAATCAATAAAAATAAAGTGTCCACACACATACATGTATCATGGAAACATAAATTATGAAATAACACGACTCGGTGGGGGAGCGGCATGGGAACACTTGGTAAAAATGCATATTCCTGGGCTTATGCCAGACCTGCGACATCAGAACTTTCACAAGAAGGGCTCAGACTCTGTATAACAAGCTCCCTAAGTTATTCTGATGCACAAGATAGTGTGTGAACCACTGTCTCAATCATCTAGTCAAAGCAAAACAACACCTTGCAGTTCATACCTCCTGCGCCCAGCCCAGCGCTGAGACCCAGTGGTGCCTGAGATGGCCCTGGCCCTGCCTCCTGGGGTTCAGGGTCTGGAGGAGACAGACCGGCCCCAGGCAGTGATGGTGCAGCATGGCCAGGGATGAGCTAGGGAACCTAAGGGAGCTGAGAGAAGCCAGAAGGTCATGGAAGGCCTCCTGGAGGAGGGGATATCTGAGTTAGTGTTTTTTGTGTTGGTTTATTTTTTTGTAATATTTGTATTGATTTTTAGAGAGAGAAGAAGGGAGAGAAAGAGAGAGAAAGGTTGATGAAAGAGTGAAACATCAGCCGTAGCCACTTTGGCTCAGTGGATAGAGCGTGGGCCTGCGGACTGAAGGGTCCCAGGTTCGATTCCGGTCAAGGGCATGTACCTTGGTTGCGGGCATATCCCCGGTGGGGAGTGTGCAGGAGGCAGCTGATCGATGTTTCTCTCTCATTGATGTTTCTAACTATCCCTCTCCCTTCCTCTCTGTAAAAAATCAATAAAATATATATTTTTTAAAAAGAGTGAAACATCAATCGGCTGCCTCCCGCATGCCCCCTACCGGGGAGAGAGCCCTCAACCCAGGCATGTGCCCTGACCAGGAATCGAACCAGCACCAGCCAGGGCTGAGTTGGGTATTGAAGGCATAACAAGTGCCCATTATTATTATGTATACAGGATGCTCTGATCCGTGGGTATGCAGAATGAGGGAACTTGACATAGTCTGGAGCAGCAGTCGCCAACCGGTGGTTCATGGCGACCACTGGTTTGGAGGATAGGAAAGCATTTCAATCCTTTATTCATTCTCTTAACAAATATTTACTGAATTCTTCATAGTGGGTTCTGGGAACACCATGTGGATCAAAGATCTCATTTTCTCCCTCACATTGCTCATGGCTGGGTATAGTCATTGAGTGAAATAAGAAATAACATTTCAGCTCTGGCCAGTGTTGCTCAGTGGTTAAAGGGTCACTGGTTCGATTCCTGGACAAGGGCATGTACCTGGGTTGTGGGTTCACTCCCCACCCCCAGGAGGCTCCCCCTACATCGGGTCAAGTGTATGCAGGAGACAACCAGTCGCTGTGTCTCTCATATCGATGTTTCTCTCTCTCCCCCCCTCCCTCCCTTCCAATCGAGAAAAAAAAAATAACACTTCAAATACAAACTCAGTTAAGTGCCCTAAGAGGGAGGTGTACAACCAGATGTGACCACATCACAGGAGATTGTGATCCTCCTGGAGAGTCAGGGAGGCCTCCTGGAAGAAGATTCATGGGATGAGTAGGAGTTAGCTGGGCAAGGGGAGTGGGGGAGGGGGGAGAAAGGGATATCAGGCAGAAGGAGGAGCTTGTGCAATGGCCCTAGGGTCAGGGGGCTTCTTAGGTCTAAGCCTCCACCTGTCTACCTCCTACCCCACAGCCTGGAGGGGCCTCCATCATACAAGCCACCAACCCCAAAGACAAAGCTGGAGGAGCCAGAGATGGTAAGCACTTTGCCTGGAACCCAGGCCGCCCCACCTTTCCCCAGTAAGGCCATGGTGGGGAAGAGGGAGTTGGGGAAAAGAGGTGGGCTGGGCAGGGGGTCCTGACCTATCCCACCCACTCCCACTGCAGCCCTCCCAGCTCTTCACTCTTGGGGCCTCAGAGCACAGCCCACTCAAGACCCCCTATTTTGATGCTGGCGTCTCATGTGCTGAGCAGGTAGGATCTTGGGTGAGGATGAGGCTGGGTACAGTCGCTGACATAGAGGTTAAGGATTAAAGGTCACAACTGAAGTGCAGAGCTGTGTTTCTGGTCAGAGCTTATGGCATCGAGCTGTGTTTACAGTTCAGTGGGGGAGGTCATGACTGAAAAATTCTGAGGACATGATGTTAGAGTTTAAAGTCAGTCAATGAAGATTGGTTGAACATCCACATTGGCTAGATACTGTAAGACAAGACATAGAGACCCATTAGCCATCTACTGGAAGTCAGGGGTCAGATATTGAAGTTGTAACTAGTCAAAGTTTAAGGGGCTGTTTCAGGCTTCAGGTTAAGGAGTTGAGGTCAAGATTAAAGTCAAAGGTTCATGGGGAAAGACTTAGGTCAGAAACCAAAAGACAAAGTAGAGACCCAGGGTTGACAGGGTAAGGACCACGCTCGGGGCTTTGAATTAGGGACAAGCCATATGACTGACCCAGTGACAGGGGTAAGGTTGGGCCTGGTTGGCGTGGGGAGATGGTCGGGATTTTGGAGTCAAGGGGCAGACTGGGATTCTATGTCAAGCTCAGGAAGTGACCTTGAGCTCCTGTTCCCTCCCTGCCCCCAGGAAATGCCTCGGTACCACGAGCTGCCCACCTTGGAAGAGCGGTCGGGGCCCCTGCTCCTGGGGGCCATGAGTCTGGGGTCCCCCATCCTCGTGCCTCCAGGGCCGCCTGTTGTGGAGCGGGTGCCCCTGGATCTGGAGGACATGGATGACGATGAGGAAGACTACCTAGACAAGATCAACCCCATCTATGACGCCCTCTCCTACGCTAGTCCCTCTGATTCCTACCCAGGCAAAGGCTTTGTCATGTCCCGGGCCATGTATGTGTGAGCCGCCATGGCCCTGGCTCTTACCTCTCTTTTTGATCCCTCAAGTCGCTGCCAGGAATCTTGTGCTGCTTGACCTCTGGCCAGGCCACTGTCAGTGAACACACGCATCTCATCTGTGATTTTGACGTTGGTGGATCCATGGTGACCTCTAAGCCGATATCTCTGACCTAGAGAAACCAGCCGTGACAATGGAAACCTGGCAACCTTATCTCATGAGTTGAGGGAGGGGAAATATGTTTCTGCACAATCCGACCCAAGGACTCCTAAAACTGACCTTAGTTCACGCCTCACATTCTGCAGTCTCCTCCCAAATTCCAAAGAAGACCCCAGACCTCTACTGTGTCCTTAGGTAGTCAACTCCCAATAGCTCTGCTGGGTTGCATGTTGGGGGGCAGGCACCTTGCTGCTCAGACCTGAGCCCTCCAGGCAGCAGAGCCCCACTTGCCCCCTCCCCACCCTGTCTGTTCCCCAATGGTGGGAAGGAGGGGAGTCCCCAGCCCAAGGCATAGCTTCCCCATCTCCCTCCTCCTGCAGGCAGGAGTCACAGGGTCCGGACCCTTCCCTGAGTCCCCACTTGCCCAAATCCTGTCTTCAGGGAATTAAGCCCAGTCAAGGACTAGATAGGGTGAGTGTCATGCAGAGTGTGCCTTGCTGACCCCAGCCTTGAGAGAAGAGTTTGTGTGTTACTTTGAAGACTACTAAGTCCTTTTACTGCTGCCCAGTGAAATGGGACCCAAATATCTCCCTGGGGGGAGGGGGGGGGGCGGGGGAGGAGATGGTCACCTGGATCTGATATTGTTTTGTAAATAGGGCATTTCCTACCAATATGAATTTGTACTTTGACCAGGTCTCAACTTGTGTATTCTGTGGGATGTGAAGGGGGGGAGGGTGGAACATGATGATGGGTAATAAATAGGGGGCCCAGAACTTAAGGGAATCAGTAGACGAAGTCAAGATGGGTTACAGACAAAAATAAAAAAAGCCAAAGACATGACAAAAACAATCGAAGGGATAATGGCTAAATATGCATAAGCAAAAAAAAATGTAATGATGGGTAATGGAGAGGGGGAGGAATCCAGGGCTAACGGTTAATGAAAAGGAAGCAGTGAACAGCAGTCTAATCGACAGAAATAAACGGAACAGATATAAATGGTAGTAATCAAGTACGAGGGACTCGGGTTTAATGGGTAAATGGCAAGTAAGAATAGACCAAAGTCAAAATTATGAATAATGTAATAAGAGCTCAGGACATGATGGGTAATAGATCTGGATGAATGAGCCAGAGGCAGACAGGTGAATAAATGGAGAAATAGGGGCCGCAGGCATGCTAGATAATAGACCCAAAACATGATGGTTATTTAAGAAGGGCTAGCTAGAAGAACGATGGAAGTGCACGGGCAGAAATGTGCTGAAGGTAGTACAGGCAGTGGAACTGAAATGAATGGGACGGGGGCATGCTGGGTAATGGGACAGAAATGAATGGGCCAAAGATAGAAGCCGCAGTGACGCAGGTCCGGGGGTGGGGGGGAGCGGGGGACCGAAGGCATGATGGGTAACGAGAGAGAGAGGTGGGTCTATGCATGGCAACTGTCGCGTTAAACGGGGAAAGGGCATTGTGGGTAACAAGAAGCCGGCGAAGGTTCACACAACCGGTTAGAATTCTCCCGACGCACTGTGGGAAGGGCCAGAACTTCCGGTTCTCGGTCGCTGACTCTGGACTGGGGACTGCCCCTCTGCCGCGGTGCCTGGTGGGACGCGAGGCCTGACCTTGCTGCCTAGCAGCCTCTGCCGCGCAACCCACCTTTACCCGTGTCCCTCGACCCTGCACGTTAGCCAATGAACGCACCAATCTGATTATGTCACAAGGGTGGAGAACCTGTACCTGCCGAGCCAATCATAATGCTATAAGGACCAAAGCCGGCCAATTATCATGGCAACTTCTCCGCGGGGCAAAGTCGAAAGAGGCGTGCCTTCTGAAGAGGGGCGGAGGCGACGAGTCCGTGGGCGTTGCAAAGTGCTCAGCGCAAACCAATGGTAAAGGAGCGCTGGAACCCGCGGCGTAGCAAACCAATAGGCACGGGTTCCACAAGTCAATGGGCAGGGCGGGCAGGTGTGCTTTGACCTGCTTGCGAGTGGGAGCCAATAAAAAAGGGCGTTCCGAAGAAATGGGTGGGGTTTTCATCCATGGCTCCAATAGCAGGGCCAGGCCCTGAAGCTGGTGGGCGGAACCTAGGGCATGTTGAACCAATAGGCTAGGGGGGGCGGGGCGACGGTGGTGGCGGCGGCGGTAGTGGGTTCGGTTGCGCGTGGCGCACGGGGTGGGAGCGGAGCCCAGGCCGGGAACAGGCGCTGCCGCCAGTGAGAACCGGGGGCCTGAGCCGCGCGGGGGTTGGCTGGGGACTGGGTCCGGGGCGGCAGGCCCTGACCTCCGCCCTCTGACCTTTTCCCTTGCAGGCAACCATGGGGAACGTGTTGGCCGCTAGCTCGCCGCCCGCAGGGCCACCGCCGCCGCCCGCGCCCGCCCTCGTGGGTCTGCCGCCTCCACCCTCTCCTCCGGGCTTCACGCTGCCGCCGCTTGGGGGCGGCCTGGGTGCTGGGGCCGGCGCGGGTCGAGGTTCAGAACGGACCCCCGGGACTGCAGGGACCGCGGACGATGGGGCCTGCGGCTGCCTCCCCAACCCGGGCACGTTCGAGGAGTGCCACCGGAAGTGCAAGGGTGAGGGGCGCGGGACCTGGCGGGTGTGCGATGGTCCGCATCTCGGTCGGGGGAAGGGGGAGCACATGGAGGCCACCTTGGGCATTGGCACGGACTTTTGGAGTTAATTGAACAGAGCGCTGGGAGCCGACGTTGGGATCGGGTGGTGGAACGTTGCACTGGGGGCTTAGAACGATGGGATCAGATGGTGGAACCTCGGGATGGAATGGCACCGGAGTGGAGAGAAGCCTCAGGGGCCCCAGGGATCCGCCCCGCCGGCCTCCTCATGTGACCCGCCAAGAAACTGAGGCCCAAGGTCACGGTGTCAGCCAGGGTCTAGGGGGGATGGGACCCCCAAAGCTGCTGGGTTCTGGCTGGGAATGATCGCGGTGGCAGAAGTGATGGACGTGTACTGAGCCCTGCTCTGGCGCTCAGTGCATGTTACCTTGCTGAGTCGTTGCCATGTTCCCACGTGGTGAGTGTCATCTTGCAGATGACAAGTTTGACATAGAGAAAGCAACTTACCAAAGGCACACAGCAGCGGGCAGAGGCCCTGGTCGTGGCCCCATCCATCAGGCTATCCCGCCGTTTCACTGGTTGGATCCTTTGTGGGACGGTCTGCTGTGGTTCCTTGGAGATGGGAGAGCTGAGACGAGAGGTGGGGGTGTGGGTGACAGTATTTCTCTTCTTCAGAGCTGTTTCCTATTCAGATGGAAGGTGTCAAGCTCACAGTCAACAAAGGGCTGAGTAACCATTTCCAGGTGAGCCTTCCTGCCTCCAGAGGGCATCCCAGCCACCCCCCTGCACCTCTGCGTACCACCCCCTTACTCCCCCCAAAAGGGCTGGGCCCCTTGCTCCTTGAACTCAGAGACCGAGCCAGGCTGACTTCTCAGTGGGGGTGTTTAGGGACTCAGAATTCAGAGATGCCCCTTCCCCCAAAACATCCAGGTAGAAGTGAAATGCCAGGTATGTAGTCACCCCCCGCCAGCACATTCTTTCTCTAAATCTCTCATCTAGCCAGCCCACACCGCGGAGTCTTTGCTCCCGGCCCCCAGCCAAGAGATGCCTGTCTTTTCCTCCTGGATAGGGAAGCCCAGGCTGGAGGGGAGCTGTGCTGGAGGTGGGCTCAGCTGGGGTTATTGGGGGGCGGCCTGCGGCTTCGTCCCCACAGCCCTCCCTCTTCTCTCAGGTGAACCACACAGTAGCCCTCAGCACAATCGGGGAGTCCAACTACCATTTCGGGGTCACGTACGTGGGGACAAAGCAGCTGAGTCCCACGGAGGTGAGGTTCTCGTCATTTCATTCATTGTATCATTCTTCTGACAAGTGTGTGGCCAAACACCAGAAGGCTTTGTCGGGAAGAAGCCAGAGCTGCTGAGGGTGCTGGGGGGGGGGGGGGGCGCGCACTGTGTCTCTCCAAGGTGCATTGTAATACCGGTGGTTCCTTCATCCTGGGCCCCTGCCTCTGCCCAGTCCTGTGTTGCATGAGGCTTTGAATGCCAAACCAGGCATTGGGACTTTCTCTAGGGGGCACTGGAGAGCCATGGGAAGATCTGAAAGGGAAGGTCATGGTCAGGTTTATGCTTTAGAAATGTCTCGGGATGCCGTGCAGAGGCTAGGTGAGGGGAGTGGGGGCAGAACTGGAGGCCTGGAAGGAGACTGGGGCAGGATACGGGAGGAGCTAGGAGACCGAATTCGTTAACTGGTTCCATTCAGTAAATTCACTTATTCAGCAAACCATTGTACCTCCATTCTGTGTCCAGCTCTCTGCAGGGGACATAGCAGTGACTGAAACAGCTGTGGGGCTCACAGTCTAGCGGCGAGAGGGGACAGTCTGTTCCCGGGGAGTAACAGTGCAAGGTGGGCAGGACTGAAATGGAACCCAAAGGCCAGGGGAGCCTAATTCAGCCTAGGTGGTCAGGGAGAGCTTCCTGGAAGGGAGGCCTTCAAACTGAATTTTTCTGATTCTAAGCTTTTCACCGGGGCCCATCACTTACGTACTTCCATAATGCTAGGCCTCTGACCTTTAACCTCTCACCTTACCTTACTCTCTGCCTCACAGGCATTCCCCGTGTTGGTGGGTGACATGGACAATAGTGGCAGCCTCAATGCTCAGGTCATTCACCAGCTGGGCCCCGGCCTCAGGTCCAAGATGGCCATCCAGGTGAGTGGGCGTCGGGTCACCTGCTCCCCCAGCCATCCTGAGCTCCAGGCTGCCCTCACACGTCCCCTCCTTCCCCACAGACCCAGCAGTCAAAGTTTGTGAACTGGCAGGTGGATGGGGAGTACCGGGGTTCTGACTTCACAGCAGCCGTCACCCTTGGGAACCCAGACGTCCTGGTGGGTTCAGGTAAGAGGCGCAGGGCTTGCGGGGGCCGGGGGGGTCATAGTCTAGTCCAGGAGTGGGCAAACTTTTTGACTCGAGGGCCACAATAGGTTCTTAAACTGGACCGGAGGGCCGGAACAAAAGCATGGATGGAGTGTTTGTGTGAACTAATATAAATTCAAAGTAAACATCATTACATAAAAGGGTATGGTCTCTTTTTTTTTTTTTTTTTTTTTTTTTTTTTAGTTTTATTCATTTCAAACGGGCCGGATCCGGCCCGCAGGCCATAGTTTGCCCACGGCTGGTCTAGTCCCGGCTTTACCAGCAAGTCCATCCCCTCTGTGCCTCCTTTCTACCATCTGAAAGATGGGCACAGGCAGGAGGGTTTTGAAACATCAGGCAGCAGAGCATCGTGGGTGAGAAGGCAGATTCAAACCCCAGCTCTGCCGCTGGCTTAAATGCAACTGTAGGCAGCTCCCAGCACCTCTGTGGGCCTCCGCTGTCTCGCCTGTAAGATTGGGCTGCCTCACGGCGCCATTGAGAAGGTCGTGTAAGTTTGTGTGTGAAATGCTTCAAAGAGGGTCCGGCATGTGATGATGGGTCCCAAGGAAATGAGCTCCTGTTATTGACTCGTGGGGCCCTAGTGGTGTTTGAGGGCACAGGGCAGCGCCCGGCGCGGCAGGTTCCACCTGCAGTTGGAAAGGAGATGTGGTCTGAGATGTGGAGACTGACGGGGAAATTCCTGTTTGGGTTGGCGGGGGGCAGGAACCACTGGGCTCTGTCTCTGCTTCTAGTTTCCCCGTTGTTTTGTTTGTGTGTTTTCTGTTGTTAAACCGAGGGTATTTTTTCCATTGATTTTTGGAGAGGGAGAGAGTTAGGGAGGGCAGGGGGGGAGAAAGAGAGCAAGAAGCATCAATGTCGCCAAAGCCGGTTTGGCTCAGTGGATAGAGCGTCGGCCTGCGGACTGAAGGGTCCCGGGTTCGATTCCGGTCGGGGGCATGTGCCTGGGTTGCGGGCATATC